TTGCTTCAAAGCCATTAACTTATGCAAAGTAACGATTTTTTTTATTAAGGGAATAACTGTTGGCTGCTTACAGTGATAGATTTCATTTTCTGGTTTACTTATGAGTTGTGAGAATTTGTCATCTAAGTGAAGAATTGTGTCTATTAGAGCTCCATACAGGGTATGTGTTACAGAAAAGATGAGGCGGCAGCTGTATGTCATGTAATACAGTTATACTCATCTTATTTTGATGAGTGTGAGTGCAAATATCCAGGACTGATGTAATACGAAATGGATAATTATAGGATTGTCTAAACGGGTTGTCTAAAGGTTGTAGTACTGCTTTCAGAAGATTGTCTTTTGCAGATTGTCAGGTTGTAGCACATCCAGGCTGGGGACACGATTTAGTTTTTAGGATTTAAACATAATCTTGTTATGGATTCCACTAGAAGTGAACTAGCAGTAACTGAAGCTCAAAAGCTTCAGTCTTTGGCAGTTTTGAAACTCCAAATAATTTCATTCTCGGTGCTTGAGGCTGTGGTACAACTGATTTGAAGTATGTCTAACCTGTTGCAAAGTTATATTGAAAAGTTGACAAAACTGATGAGTTCATTTTTTAAGACAGTGAGTTATTCTATGTATTATCTTCTGGATTTTCAGATACAAATACTGCCTCAAAAATAGATAAAAAATATCTTTGGCAGATCATGATCAGCTATCAAGACCTACAGCAAACTAAAGAAGATTTGGTGTCTTACTGTTATAATTGTAATATTAAATTCTCTGTACTGTCAACTTAATGATATAGTTTTAATTGCTCTTGCATTCCGAGTGCCATTGCTCTAAGAAAAAAAACCCCACCCAAACAACCAACTTTCAAAGTATGAGCTTTAGTTTGCCTAAAAGTTGATTATTGCCTGTATATCAGAGAGATGTCCTTACCTTGTCCTTTCGGAATTCATCTATTATTCTTGAAACCATACTGAGTTCTGAAGGAGTCCAGAAAGCGTATTGTTTCTGAAACTCAAATAATGGTTTTCTGTTAAATTTTAAAATGTTTTGACTAAATTGTCTCTGGTCCACTTTCTTTTTAGAAGCAACAAATTGCATGGAACTGAAGGACATTTCGGATTCATGCGTTCTTCATTAGGTCTTTTCTGTTGCTTGTCAAACCTGTAGTGATCAGTGATGTTGCATTATAGATCTAGAACATCTCTAATGATGTAATAGATATATAGCGGGAAGCTCTTACACTAACTTGTGTAGAAATGGCTGTGAAATAAGTACATGATCTTCAGTAGGTGCTGGAGGCGTAAGTGGTACTTATGGCATATGGTATGTGGAGATCTCTTCATCATGGGTGTCGCTGGACAGAGGATCCTCATGTCTTAGCAAGAAGATACCAGTGCTCTGGAATATGAGGGCATTAGGTGGACCACCAGTTACTCCAGAGTGTCTGAATCATTGACCATGGGGGACCTGGAGATTGAGGACCATTTATGATACTGTAATGATTCCAAGCCAGAGGCATCTGTGAAATCTTCACTAGGTTGTCAGTCAAACTTCATTTCTCTATTAACTCCTCTTTCGTTGAATTTTATGGTTATTTCTGAGTTGACTTGAACTTCTTTAGAAATGGCAGTCAGCTTATCTAATTTAAATGAATGTTATTAAGGAAATTGCATTTGCCAATAACCTTGGCACTAACATCCATCATGTACAGTTGGAAATACTATTTAGTTACAAAGCAGTAATTGTTAGCAGATGGAAGTTAGTAGGCTTGTATGAAATTTTTTGTTGTCTACTGGCTTGAAAGTAAAGCAAGCTTACAATAACCAATTACAATTTCTTTATTATGTACTACAGTTAAAATTTCAGATTAATTTTTGGAGGGTTTTTTTTGTAGTTGAATTTCATTTCTAGTTGAATTTTGCATGATTTGCTTTGTAGATGGAAATTATTTTTCTGGCAAATGAGATTGAAACAAGACAATATGCAGTATTTTGTTCTAGTGGTTTTGCAGATAAATTGGTACACTCAAGAAGACAAGAAACCTGTATTTTTGCACTTAAAGTACTATACCATTACTCATGAATTTTGCATGTCTATGGTTTCCAAAGCCAGCATATAAAGGAGAAACTAGGCTTGCTAAATATGATCACTGAATACTGATCAAGCCTCAGACTACATTTCTGTCTGCTGTTAATACCCTTGTCACTGACATCTTCCTTTTTTCTTTCTACTTTTAGCTGTTTCTGGTTAAGTAGATGTATGAGAATTTTTCTGTAAAGAGAATTTTTGTTGTAAAACTCATCTGGGGAATATAGGAAGCAACTCAAGATTGCTGAAGTCAGTACTTACCTTCTGGCTTAGGTAAAGATGCAGAATATTTGCTGTTAAGCTTGGGTGGTTGGGAAATTTACAGAGAGAACTCCAAACTCCCCAACGTACATGACAGCTGAATCCAGCCACCAGTCAGGGCAAGCACTGGTTCCCTGGACAAATTAGACTTGTGCCAGCAAGGCTCCTGTCAAGCCCTTAGGGAATGTTTGTTATTCCTCAAAGATCATGTGCAGGAAATAGAAGGTATGCTAAGAGGAAGTGGTGATGATGCACTGTCTTCTCTTTCCCATACCCTTGGCATTCATCAATATGTATTGTTACAAGAAAGTTTAATCTGTTTTCAACTCGCAGATTTGTGGCTATGTTAATTTAAGCCTGCTGGGAATCATAGAAAAGCTTCTCTTTCAGTGTTGCTTTCAGATGAAATGTCGTCATATTGTTGCATGATGTGTGTATCTTATGTAAACCAGTCACTGGCTCAGCAAATGGTATTAGGCAAGACAGCTAACTTTTGTGGGCCAGTTCTAATTCAAGTTACCTAATGCCTGCATTTATCCCAGGTAAATGAGCAGAACATTTAGTATATGTTTCTGTACGTAACAAAAATTAAAATAATCATCGCAACAGAAACTATTATGAAGGATTGTGCAGTATAAGCTTCCTAGGTTATGGCAGCGCTAAATATTACATAAGTAACACATAAAGGTGGTACTGAAAAGTTTTGGGTTTGGCAAAAGATGGTCAAGAAGCTCTGGACAGATCTCTGAGCAGTGATCCATTCAGATAGAGTGAAATTGCAAATCTAAAAAGAATCTGTTGCAGAACAGGATATTGCTTGCAAAAATGGAATGGAAAATGGAAAGCCCTCTTAATTTTCAATTTTACTTATTCCTTTTGGAAGATGAGCTTGTCTACCATCCATATTACCATCCAATGATCACGTCTCACTGCAGGATTGCAGAGGATCCATCCTGTGAGCTTCTTCCTCTATCACAGATTATGGGCCAGGTTTTTGTTCTTGTGTTTGAATCTAGGGGAAGGACTCTGGGGCAATCAGACTATCTCAAGCCTTTTCTGCCTACCTTTTACAACAGGTTATGTTTAACAAGAACGAGGCCTGTGTTGCAATTTACTACAGAGGAGTTAAACATCTGTCTTAAAATAAGTGTAGCAGGGTTTTGCCTACCGGAGATGAGTACCACATCTACAATGTTACGCTGTTGCTTGGAGGGATGCTAGCCTATACATTGTCTGTACTCCTCTGTAGAAGAGCAGCCCCTTTACTGAGAAACTGTTTGTAGGGTTATATGGAGTGTCCACAACATGGTTTAGTGTCACTTGTGTGGGAATAAAATGATCAGCTACTCATCTGCGCCATTGCTTCAGCTGCATCTTCAGACCTAGAAAGAGCAGTGCCAGTTCAACTGAAGTCTCTAGATGGAGCTTGATGTGAACGTTGCATGTGCTGCCAACCACCAGATGGCCTGATGTCTGAGTTGTTGAAAATAGCAGCATGCCACTGGAATAATTATAGCATCCATAAACTGAGCTAACAAACAGGTACCAAATGATGAATAGTGAACAATGGAAATACAACTTTCGAAGAAAGAAAATTGTATGTAGAGATACAAATTCTTAACTGTTTCATGCTTTAAACATTACAATTGCTCTTCCTGTACATCTGTCTATAGTAGTAGTATTTTATATGAAGACATATTAGTGAAATATGGATAAAGAATGGGTATATCAATACTGTAACAGACTCACTATTATCATTTGTAGAGGAAATCAAAGCCTTATATCCTGTAGTATTTCATGGCAAGAGGAACTCCATCTCAGAGCAGAATCAGTCTGTATGTCTGAACAAAAGCAAGAGTTTTCTTTTTTTACTGTGAAGTTTGTGTATGCATTATGTACTTTTTAAGCCTCATTGTGCCTGTGTCCTATACAAAACTTAATTATTCTCTGTTAATTATTCTCTGTTACTTTATCTGCTGTTCATTAAGCCATTTGTTTGCTTTTTACAAGGCAGTGTTGTAAGCTCTGCAGAGCAGGAATAGAGTCTAATTCTGCACAGCACCTAATCTGATGAGACTGAGCCTTCTGTACGTATTAAGACCCCCTTGGACAGCCTACAATGTGATGCACCTAAACTGCTAATTTTTTTAGTATCTGCAGTCAAAATCTTTTTTTCTGGTGTTTTGTTTTTTTGGTTTTGTTTTTTTTTTTTTTTTTTTTTTTGAGATCTGGGGAGTAAGCATGTTTTGGGTCCTGTTATGCTACTGACCAGATTTACCAAACATCTGTCCTGCTTTGGTAAAGAGAACTAAGTTCCCTTGATTATTTCTAATGCAAGATCCTAGCCAAACAAAGAGAAAGAGACCTCTAGAGGACTCTATGATAAATCGTAAGGAGCTGAACTGACGTGTCTCTCTCTCTCACTCTGAAGCATTATCTGGTCTTCTCTGTCTTGTCACATATAATCTGGGTTTTAAGAACTGGAGAGGAACTGGACATTTCATTCTCTTCTTGAATTCAAGTCTCTGTCTTTAGCTTCTTAATTTATTCTTTTTACGATCAATATTCTGTTGTGTGTTACCCTTTAGCAGTGGGAGAGTTGACATCTTCGAATATGTTCTTAACATTTCTCTTTATCCTTTTCTATTTTTTTTCCCCAGAGCTTGTGTTATCTTGGGTGTCATATTCCTCCTGTCATCTATATGTATTGTGATCAAAGCCATCCACGATCTTGCGAAGAAAGTGCTTCCGGAAGTGGTAAGGTGATTCATGTTCTTTAAAATGTTCTCTTTATTCCCTGTGCTGCCAGTGACTCTGAGAAAGGCCAGCATCTCCTTTCAACAAGCCCCGATGAACTCGGCAAAGCTGTAGCAGGTGCATTTCTTGCCTGGCTACACACTCTGGTCCTAGGCTTCAAACAGTATTTTGTCCTTATGTGTTCAGTCTAGCCGTTAATGGGTTTTAAAGGCTTGATCCCACCTTCTCTTCTCCATGGTTACCTTTTTGGGCCAAATCTTTCTCAACATAATGACTTAAAGCTTCTATATAGAACTGTAGGAGTTTACCTACAGAGAGGAGGTCTCTCTGGGCTTAATGAAAGTAGTAGAATTTTGAGGAGAATGTTTCCACAGTTTACTACTCCAATGGCTTCGGTATTTTATTTTTAATGTAGAAAAAAATGTATTTTTGGATTGTATTTTTTTGTTTTCCAGCTCTTGCCTCCAATTCCAGAGCCATGTTACGAGTAGCAGGAATGAAACAGGTGAGGGGAGCATGCTGGGTGAAAGAGAGCTGGCTTTTTGACTGGTTCACCATGGAGCATCACAAAGGGCTTTTCTCCTGCTCTCTGCTTTCTTTTGGTTATGAAAGCCAGCCCCTACCTGGCCTATAGAGCAGCTCTCCCCAGCAGCCTTTCTCTCAGCTCTGCTCTGTCCTGTCCTGCTTGCTTCTTTCAGTACTGGATATTAACTTCCCTAAGCTCTACTCATCCAAAACGGCTACTCACTGGGGGAGCCATTTGGCAGTGGTTCTACTCCCAGAAGATTCTTTCCTAATGTGCTCAAAGAAAATGAGGCTTCAGTTCATATACAACCTGACTTGTACCTTTTAAATTCAGCCTTCATGAATTTGGGTTTATTTGTAAGTGTGTGCAGGCTTTTGCATCTGGGCTTCATGCTGCCAAGTATCATTCTCAACACATCAGTAGAGAGAAATATAAACTCACATTCAAGCGGGAGATGGAGGCAGAGCTGGAAAAAGAAAGCTAATTTGGAATTTCAATTTGTTACCCACTGTTAGCAGTGCAGATGACCCACTGGGTCCTGTGCTCTCATGGAAAATTCCAAGAAGCTGGGTCACTAAAGAAACTGTTTTCAGTAGCTTGGTGGAATTTGGGCAAAAATGCATAGCATAGCAAAAGCCCATGAACTGAGGTACTACTGAATTGCTGCCAGGTGCATTGTTTAAGTGCAGGTGATTCATGTTCTCTTTGCACTTTTCCTCTTTTCCAGTCTTCATACTTTACTGCCTTCTCAGCTTTGCCAGCATAACAGCACAAGCAGTTGTTCACCAGCCTGGTTCTGTCAAAATGATCTAGGTTAGCTTAAACACTTTTAATAGTCAGTTCTTAAACTCAACCAAAACATTTTGACAGAACTGGGTTGGGGAATGATCATGGATGCCATTGTGCCAGTAAGGCTGAGGGGAGATCCTACAGTGATGGCCGGATCTTAAGTACAACCTCTTAACTTGGCTGTACCCTAACAGTGCATCTGGCTACAGGTCGACTCCTGTTTAGTGAGAAAATGAAATACATAGTCTTGACTCTGTGAAGCAGAAAGAAGAGAGGCTGCAGAGATAATTAAAATGTGTTTGGTGAATTTATGGTAGTGTAGATCAGATTCATTTGATGTCTCGGTCTAAATCATTGTGGGCAAATGCCCTAATAATTCCAGTAGTAAGAACAAAGGTTTAAAAGGTGTGTCATCTTATTTCACTCTTCCATCATTACAGGTACTGTCTACAATTGAGGGCTATTTCTTACATAGGGAGAAATGTCTCCTATTTTGCAGCATGAAAGTTATGTATGACTTCAGACATGTTGTACTTCTAATTTTTTAAATGCATTTAGAGAAAGTAAAAAAAAAAGTGAAATCAGACCTACAGGAAAGTATCCCTGAAGAGAAGTCTCATTACATTTCAAGTGCCCTGTAAGAATAATTTGTACGGATCCCTTTTGTCACAGACTACCTTGGATTCAGACTTCTGTGCACTTGAAACTGTGTCAAGTGGGTAAAAGTTAGGGTGGATACTGCTTACATTGGACACAGTATCAGGATAAATAGATAATTTTGTTCCTGACATCAGGCCGACTGTTCTCACTCATTTAGGCACTGAAGTACTCCCAGCACTTTGAAAGATATATCTGGCAGGGTACGGACTGTGGCTGACTAGTGGCAGGGTAAAAGCTGCATGCATACACATAAAGGGGTTTTTATACCTTGCAATTCTGCCTGGAATGTAGGTTAGAACAAGGGATGAAAAAAGCTGGTACTGTTCATTGTCTCTTAAATGACATGGCAAGGATTCTCATTTCAAAGTCTTTCAGTACATCTCACTGTGGGAAGCTGACTCAGTAAGGGTTGCATGACAGGTGAAATATCTGTGGGTAAACTAAGAATAATGCTGAAAAATGGGGGGACCGAGAGAACAGCATTACTGCTGCAAGTCATGGCCAGTGAGCCATTATGCCTGACAGTTGCTACGTTAAAAACAGATGGGGGGGAAAGGATGTTGTTTAACAGGTGCCTTTTCAGTTGCTCTAGCCATGCCTGGGTCTGATGCTGATTTTTTTGTTTGTGTAATGCTCCTTTAGCTGCTCTGTCTTGCAGCAGAAATAGTCATTCTTCCCAGTTGCTTGGGTCTTTGCTGATTACGTTCTCAGATGATCTGCATCTGCCCAGGCGATATTAGCATCTTGGCGTAGTTGAAATCTGCTCAGATTAAATCAGTAAGTAAGAGGAAGAAGTTTCTGCCTCCACTCTTATATATAGGGTGATGTCTTCTACTTTGAACCACAACTGAAATAATCGCTAATGGTACTAATTTCTGTAATACCTTATGTAATTTAGCTATAATGTGTGGACATAAGAAGGACATGGAGCTGTTGAAGTCCAGAGGAGGGCCACAAGGATGACAAGGGGGCTATAGCACCTCCATATGGAGACAGGCTGGGAAAGTTGAGGCTGTTCAGCCTGGAGAAGAGAAGGCTGCGTGGAGAGCTCGTAGCAGCCTTCCAGTATCTGAAGGGGGCCTACAAGGATGTTGGGGAGGGACTTTTCATCAGGGACTATGGTGATAGGACAAAAAGTAATGGGTTCAAACTTAAACAGGGGAAGTTAAGATTAGATATAAGGAAGAAATTCTTTACTGTGAGGGTGGTGAGGCACTGGAACAGGTTGCCCAAAGAGGCGGTAAATGCTTCATAACTGGCAGTGTTCAAAGCCAGGTTGGACAGAGCCTCTGGTGACACGGTCTAGTGTGACATGTCCCTGCTCATGGCAGGGGGGTTGGAACTAGATGATCTTAAGGTCCTTTCCAACCCAAACCATTCTATGATTCTGTGACATATATGGAAAAATACTTAGAACAGTGGTTTCTTCTAATGGCTTTCTGCATAGCAGTGAAGTAGCCAGTTCTGCATCAAAACAATGACCTGAAATATGTTTTGATGGTGATTTTATTGTCTGTGTGGTTACACTCAGAGTTGTGGTCAATGGCTTGAACATCCAAATGGAGATCAGTGATGAGTGGTGTTCTTCAGGGGCCAGGATTGGGACCAGCAGTGCTAAACACCTTTGTCAGCAATATGGACAGTGGAATTGAGTACACCCTCAGGAAGCTTGCCAAAAACACCAAGCTGTCTGGTGTGGTTGTCAGGCTGGAGGGAAGGGATGCCATCCAGAGGGACCTTGGCAGGCTTCTCTAAGTTTGTTTTAATTTGAGTAAGTTTTGGAGAAAATAGTATGATATGGACAAGTTTAAGAAACGAAGCAGATAAAGCAATTAAGTATCTACTTTCTAATTGAAAGGTGCTGTGATTAAAACCATAGTCACTTCTGAATAATTCTGGGTCATTTATACAAGGTACATTAGTTACATATGTGTCAGTTCTCACTATGCATGTAGCAAGAAAGATATTTCCTTGGAAAGAATGGGAGAACTTTAACATAGAGATTCTGTTGTCCCTGAAGAGGATCTCAAAAGAGTTGCTTTCATGAAAATACTATCGATAAGAAAGGATATAAAATGTACATGACAAAGAAATAATTTGAAACTATTTTTCAAATGTTTTGAACACAGAGTTTCTTTTACCTATGTGGACTTTTATCAACAGGAGTCTTCAGTCTTGTCGTTACATGTGATGATTTCAACCACAGGTCTGACAGTCCTCACCAGGTTTTGGAGAACCAAAAGGAGGGTGACAGGTTTACACGTTAAACCTGTCGAGCTGGCATTCCCCATCCTGTAAGGGATGTCCATAGTTTCTTGTCACACTGCAGAGAGCAGCTACTTAATTTACAGGACAGGAGCTCAGGTTTAGCTCAGTCAGGCATTTTTCGGTCGCCTATTTAAATTCTCTTTTACTCCATGCTGAATGTAATTTTGTTGAAACACTGTGAATGACAGCACTCCTGATCTGCACTGGCATAGAAGAGGGGACAATCAGAGCTCCTGACTTCTTGTGTTTCTTAATACTGCCTCTGCCTTTCTTTCTGCTTTTTGTTTGCTTTCTCTGTGTTAACTAAAAATAAATAATAGGTAGTGTATGTCACTACGCATGCTTTCAGCACAGGCAGTGGTTTTTTGTAATTTATTTGAATGCTTCAAAACCTTGGGAAACACAATGCAATGTGTATTTCCTCTTTTGGATCCCTTGCTTGATATGCCAAGGACTGTAGTTAACTTTGAAATAGCCTTTAAGGCAGGATATGAATGACTAGGTAGATTAATTGGTTTAAAATGTGGATAAGGTTATTAAGTGTTTGTCTGGAATTTAGTTTCCTGGTAGTGTGTGTTTTGTATATGCAACAGCAACTGTGGCCATACTGGGTCAGGCCAAAGGCCCGTCTTTGGTCATAACAGACTTTATTCGCACGTTTCTATTTAGTTTTACCTCCATTTTTTTTACAAGGAAGTCTGAAGAACCCACAGGATTCAAGGTATAGTGCTCACCAGGGATTTATACTATACACTAA